TATATATAATATTTTCGTTGCCTAATCAACAACAACACAAATAAAATATACTTTTATTATCATAAATATTAATTTTGTTCGCAAATCAATCAGTTTCATTTTTTTTTCGCTTAATTTAAAAAAATTGTTGTCGCAATACTTTAAAACATCATTTACAAAAGCGATGATTTTATTTCTTTCCAAATTAAATTAAATTAATTGATTAATCTGAAAAAACGATAAATTATTCGAGTTACATGTTAGACAAATTGTATTCCTTAGATAATAGAGAAAAAGAAATAAATGAAAAAGAAAAGGAGGATGATAGGTTTGAAATCTTAGTAATAGATAAATAATGTCACAGTAAGAAAATATATTATCTAGTTAAAGAAAAACGAGAATGAAACTGTCAAGATCGGTCACGAATGTAAATCTACGCAGGCAAGCTTGAAAGTTGGAAGTAACGATTCCATATGAACCGCAGCATAGTTAGCTCGCGTTGCGATTACTTGTTAACTTCTCAAGGGTAAAAATACTGCAGTATCGCGAGGCTAACGCTGCAAAACTTGCTTGAAACGTTGACAGTCGATGATATCCGATTCACTATAGTTTATCAGTTTGATAATGATACGTTTATTGTACATTTATGTACAATAGCATATATATTTTCTATATTATTTATATGTATATACATATTTAAATGTTTATTTGAATAATCTTTTCGTTATTTATTTTCTCTTCCATGATCTATTATATATGTGTCACGAATGATTATTATTTGTGATTGTTTATTTACATATATAATACATATCGTGGAATGACTATTGCTCAAAAAACATTTAACGTCAATCTGACTTACATCTTTCCTGTGTGTGTGACGAACAGACGTTAATTACTCAACTTTAATGTAAGCACTTAAATCTCATATAAATTTAATTCGATTTAATTATAAAATACTCGTATTAACGATTTATTCCATACCCCAGTTATATATATGATCGACGACCTTCATCATTCTTTATATCCTTTCTTTTCTTTGAGCAATTGTAGTTAACAATAAAAATGAATATTGCAAATTGAAATATGTAATAAATGTATCGAGCTGTATATCATTATTAATGTCATGTATATATGATTACTTAGGTGCATACATGTAAAAACAAGTAAGTACTTATATGTTATATATGTTAACATATGTTATATAAGTTAAGAAAAAATGGACTATGTAAGTTTGAAGATACGGTTCATGATTCAATGAGGTAACACTTTAACCAATCCCAGCAATATCGAGTTCCACATATTACATGGAATGCGAATCGAACGTCCGTTCCACTGATCCTCGTTTCTGTAACCGACAATAGCATTAGATGCACATATGTAATATGTATGCAACTATGTAACATACATGTAGGTGTATACATATATATAGGATCTCCCAAAAGTCTCCTTACCGAGAAAAAAGAAACAAAATATAAAATCAATATTGATTCATTAATTGAGTTATAATATTTTTTATTTTTCATTTAAATATATTTATGTATTTTTGGTTACAATGTTTTTAATAAAATATTAATCCATTTCAAATATTTATCAATGAAATATTTGTAATTTTTCAGCACGGTAATGCAACTTTTGATACACCTTGTACATGTGTTTGTATTTATATACATGTGAACGTATATGCATCTGTTTTAACCACAGGTACAAACTAGCATCCATGATTTGCAACATTTTTATGTTATCAGTCTTTTTCAACAACTGTCATCACATCGCTGCGGTCGTTTATATAATTTATTTGTTTCTATATTCATTCCAAACCACTTGCTTAAGAGTTTTACAAAAAAAAAATTATTGTAACGAAGACACAAATAAAACGCACATTTTAAAACCGCATTTCTTTTTTCTTTTTTTTTTATAGTTTTTTTATATCATGTTTTTTATTCAATATTTTTTCTGAAAAATCTCTTGGGAAGACAAATTTTTTATAGGATTATTAATATTTTGCTGATCTCCTTCCTAAAACTGGTTTCGAAACATATTTATATACAAATATATTCATACATATGTATATTTTATATATACAGGATGAGCCAAAAGTTCTTAGCTGGGCCAAAATTCCTAGATTCTTTTTCAAAATTAATTATTCTTTATTAAAACTTATTCAAGGCTCATTTTTTCTTTTGTTTTTTAAATTATCTTGAGTAAGTTTTTACAAATAAAACTTGGTCCTCTTTGTAGAATATAGTCATATATATGTACCTTTATACAACAAATAAGTTTCAAGGCTATTCTACCTCGTTGTAATAAACTCGGTATATGAAGTATTCAATTTCTATTACTCGATTATATAAGTTTTAAACTAAGAACTCAAGCATATCTTTATAAATAAAAAGATTTTATCGGATTTTCATATAGTTTTCCATTCGTCTACGGTAACATTTTAAATTACGATTGAATAAGAAACAAACACAAACAATATATAATATAATTAAGTATTTACTCACATAATATTGAATATAATGTCACGATAAACTCACGTTTTGATTATAGTCTTGTCCTTATCGCATTTATATTTAGAAATTGATAAACAATTATCGTTAATAATTGTTTTCCTCAGTTTTAGGTATTTCCATACCTCAATGCATGAATAACAAATGCATAATCAACGATATCGTCATTTTATGTTTAATAAACAAAATATAATTTATATAAACTATAAATATGTAATTTTTTAAAGTACCATTATATATAAGTATAGGAAAATACCAACAGCATTATATGGAATAGTATGAAGAGATAAGTCATATGTGTATTCGATTTATCTGAACATACGTACCCTTATTATCAGATAAATATATTATGATATCTTTTAAAATCACCATTGCAAGGTTGTTCGATGAGTATGAACTATCCCAGTTCATTTTAAAAATATTATAAATAAATTTGGAAAAAATATCAACCTTTTATTATTCGATTTTCTTTCCGAATATTATATTATTATTATTTGAACATAGTTTTTGATTTACTTACTATTTCAATCATTTTATATTACACTACGCCAATGTACTGTACTTCGATTTGTCAGGGTCACATAGAATTGCAGCTTCCAGGGTAATCTAAGAATAACATTTAGACTACCAATGTAATTCTATAATTAGATCAAATATTTCGCTAGCAAATAAAAGAAATGTCCAGATGTTTACGTTAAATATTTTAATTAATTATTAAACGTAATTATTGAAAAGATTTATATTCAAGTTATATAATTTAACAAAATATTGTAGAATTTGAAAAAGCATTATTTTTTCATTCTTAAATTTTTCATCACGTTAATTATCTTGTACGAGATTAATAATCATTTTAAAACAAAAACACCATATAATAAATATATACTTTAAAAAATACTTTGCTACTTCATTTGAATACATAAATTTGTTGTTCATCTTCTTTTGAAAATATGCGGAATAACAAAAAAAAAATTGATTTAAAATAATTTCAGAAAATCTCTCTCTCTATTTTCTTTTAAAATTTAACTAAAAATATTTGTTATCTATTAAAAAATTAACAGTACTAGTAATTACTGTAAAAATAAACTCGATATTTTTATCAATTTACAAGAAAACAAATGGTTTATAAGACTTGATTGGAAACATATTTTTTACAATATTTCACGTTAAATTGTAAATATATTTTATCATTAAGATTGTTCTTATTTTTTTTTTTTTTTTTTAATAAATTTATATTTTCTTTTAAATAAATCTCTTCAACAATAAAAAATCTGCAAAATATTATTCATTTTTCATTAAACTGCGCTAATTTATGATTACCAATATTTTATCCTTTTACGCAATTATTAAATTTTACTAATTTTTTCCATAATTTGATCATTATCGTTAACTTGTTTTTTTTTTTTTTTTTTTTTTTTTTTTTTTTTTTTTTTTTTTTTACATAAACCAATTAAAATGAAAAATATACAATTGTTTTCTGTTCAAAATAATTAATATTTCTCATTATATTAATTGAAAAAATAGTAAACTACATGCGGGTTTAAATAAAATGCATAATAGTGTCATCTAGCGGATAGTTCCTGAAATCATGACTTCAAATAGAAACATTCAAATTAGTCAAATTATTTATCTTACCATTATAAATGATTGTTTTTTTTCTTTCCTTCTTGTTCTAACATATTTATATACAAATGTAGGTTGAAAAGTCTTGAGCCTATTCTTTGCAAACAATTTTAAGACAATGTCTAAACGAAAGAAAGTTGGACAAAAAAAAATTCTACATTAAGCTCAAAACTTTTCAGCCCACCCTCGTATTATTATACATTTGTAATTTAATAAATAATTTAAAAAATATACTACTTAACTCGTTAAAATTTATTTACAAATTTTGTTTGCTATTGAACAAATTTAAATATAATTAGAATATATAAATTATACGTTWATATTTATTTATTTAATATTGTATCCGTGTTAGGACCAATCAAAATGTAATTTTAATCCTTGCTAAACAAAGGAAAACTTATGATAGACGAATTTTGCCCAAGATTTGTCAGAAATAGTAATTTTGACATTTGACACTTTAAACTGGTTTATTGTTCTATTTTAATTAAGATTACAAATAAAGTCGATGATTAAAGTTAAATATGTGGGAAATTACGTTTAATAAAATATACAAGTGTTGAAAAATATAAGTTTTAAATGTTTGAAGAATAAAATAAGAAAAGTAATACAAACAAGACATATTGTGTTCTTTTCCATACTTCTGAAAGGAAATAAAACGTTGGAACTTTTTGAACAAATGAATTTTGTTTATTTTCTCATTGTTTAATAAGATTTCTTAATTAAAATTCATATTTTTAAAGAAAAATTTTCTTTACTTTATTTTCATAATATTTACAAGTATAATAAAAATTATTATACATAATAATATACTAATATATATAATAATAATGTATGTGTGAATAAAATATGTAATATAAATATTTAGATAACTCTATGGAATTATTTTTACAGAAGCTACTAGATTTGTTATAGACAAATAGTGTAAAAAATTAATATAATAATACTAAGATGAATAACATAAACTTACATAATGTTATTATAAGGTCTACTCATTTACCAATAACAGACAAAGAAGAAGATTTTATTCAATTTAATAAACCTGACGACAAATCTTGGTTTGATTATAACACAACTTTAAACAATGTTAAAGAACCACAAATGGCAAAGGTTAGCTAAAATCATATATTCTTTTTATTTATACTTTATTACATGTAACCATATTATATGCATATTAATATACAGTTTTATAACAGCAGTATACAGGCTTTATCACATTATTTAGGACTGTACTGGGTGTCCTGAGATTTATCATCCTACTAATGAAAATAAGAAAAAATATTATTTCAATTCAAATTAGAAAAGCTTTATTACAAAGTTATAAACGAATGAAATTGAAATAGATAACAGCAGATGTTCCGGAAGAATGTATTTATTAATACCCATTTCTAATTACACAACTTGGGGTCATTTTGATTTATTCAATTCATCAATGTTCATTCATATTGTGTGGAACATCAATAACATTCTGAAAATATCTTGAGCTTTGTTGATTATACTTCTACACAAAGTATTTGATATACTTCATCTCAACCAATCCCGGGACACCCTGTATAGTATAATGTTAAATATTTAAAAAATACAATTAAATGTTAAATAGTTATTTCTTATAATATTTATACTGAATTTTGAGAAACTAACTACAAATATTTTCTTTATCTTTAGTTATTAGAAGAAAATACTGCATTTATGTCAAATGATAATAATCTACTAGATATAGATGAAAATGAAATCTTAACTTCTATAAAAGCTGTAAGTGTAATATTATTTTATATACGTATTATAAGTATAAAATGTTTTCTAATAATTATATATAATATATTTTATATACATAAATTTTGGTTTCTATACTATATACAATTATAAAAATTTATTTATATTTTTATAAATATAGGTAAATCGTGGAATTAGTTACTCTAATACATTTCTAGAACGCCAGTGGAGATTAAAACAATTGAACCAAAATTTCTGTACAGAAAAGATTAACGCTAATATGTCAAGTTATAAGTCGTACTCTAGTTTTAGCAATGATGCCAAGCCATCAAATATACAAAATACAGGCCTATCAAATATACAAAATAGTAATGCAAATCAAGTAAAGAACAGGACAGAAGATATTGAAGATTTGAATTCTATTAAAGAAATTTTGAAACAATATAAACTCTCAAAAAATGCTTTAATCTTAGGACTTTTAAACAATAAGCAAATAACAATAAATGATTTAAAAAAGCCTAGCAAACCAATTGTAGAATATAGAACATCCTACGAACTATTTGATTACAAGGTAAGTTTGAAACATATGTAAATTCATACAAGATTTTACTTTTATTCTATTTAAAAAGGATTCAATTACTGTCAAGTACATTTTAAATAAATATAAATATTTATAATAACATATTTTAAGAAAAATTTGGAATTCTCGGAAAACAAATTAATTATTTATCCTGGTAAAAACATGTAACTGTGTTAGCATAATAGCTGCATGTCTCGAGGAAGGAAAACTAGTTTGTAGTGGTCCCCGGGGTGGGTGGGTCCCAGTCACCACGACACAGCGCGTCCTCAGGTTACGGAGAGAGAAAGGGCCTCTTGGTCCTGCATAGGGACGGAGGTTAGCTGCGAATAAATTGAATAAGCAGTCGCGGACAGCCTACTTGGAATTGGTCCTCCTATTCGGGGGTTGGGCGTACCCCACACCGTAAAACGACTTTATCGAACATCAAAAAATACCGTCATAGATTCTACTAGGGTAAAATTTTCCGGAGGTAAACTAGTCCTCCGTTCGGATCTCCGGGTGGGGACTACCTTGGGGAATTCGTGTCGGGTAAAACTTCGTAAAATCTTCGGTGCAAAACGCGATGAGGAAACGGGCGAATGGAGAAAACTCCATAACGTAGAAGTACATTGATTGTACAACAAACTGGACATTATTAACGTCATAAAATCACGCCGCTTAAGATGGGCTGGTCACGTGGCGCGCATGGGGAAGGATCGAACGGTGCACAAAATATTAGTCGGTATACCGAACGGGAAAAGACCACTAGGTAGACCGAGACGTAGATGGAAGGATAATATTAGAAGGGACCTAAAAGAAACAGGATACGAAGATCGCGAATGGAAGGATCGCGTTCAGGGACGGGAACAATGGCGTGATTTGGTATTTGCGGCAATGAACTTTCGAGTTCCTAACGCCAACTAATAATAATAATAATAATAATAATAATAAAGAACATGTAAACTAATCTAATCTCTATAACATAATTTGTCTTAATATTATTTGTAAATTACATCTAATGTAATAGAGCTATTCACGAAGTTAAGCGTCCTTCGTCCTTTTTATTAGTAGTTTTTCAATCCAATAAATAAATGTACTCTCTTAAAAATCTGCTGTTTACAATTTATACTATGAGTTAAATCTACTTTATAAACGGTAATTCAATTAACATCATTTGTCTGTGTTTTTTTTTAATTGTTTATTAATATAAAATTATTTTATAATATAAAAAAATAACAGTAAGTATTTAAGAATTTAAATGAAATAAAAATTAATTTTACTAAATTATTTCATTTTTATTAGACTGAGGATATGACTGCAGGATGTCATCTAGTACAGCTTCCAGATGATCCAGATATATATTTGCATCCATTACAACTAATGGATAATTCAGAACAGGAAGCTGATGTAAACGTATTCGGAGTAAAGAAAATATTTACAGCAAAACAATATTATATTAATAATGCTGAACGGGTGTCTTTTGGATTTGCAAAAAGAAATGTTGAAAAGAAATAATTGTTATAAGTAAATCTTAATCAAGATATACTCTCTCATAAATTTATAATTTAATATGCCTATTTGTCTAAGAATATTAAACGTAAAAAAAATAATATTGTAAATAATCGTGCGTAGTTTATAATAAACTAATAAAATATATATAATAAATAATATATATAAATATAATATATATATATAAATAAAATATATATAAATAAATATAATAAAAAATTTGATATTAAAATGTTAGAACTAATTAGATATTAACGAATACGAAATGTTAATGAATAGTCTAACATAGAATGATAGAACTAACACTAAGATAATAAGTAGAACTTATATTACTAAATAACTATTATTTTAGATAAGACTAATAAGTACAAAAAAAAAAAATTTTTTTTAAATTCAGCATTCGTAAGTTAAATACGTTTTAGAAATTATATTTGATAATTGTGACACAATAAATCTATCCATGTTAACGCTAAGACAATGTAATATAAATAATGAAACAAATAATAAACTCTATTACTCTTTTAATTATAATATTATATGGTTTTAAGAAGTAAACAAAGAACTTGTTCACTTTATTTGTAAATAAAAATTATTTTTTTTATATAAATATATATATATTTTTTATATTACTCATATCAGTTTCACCTCATAAATATAAATATAAAAATTACAATTATATAAAATTATTCCAAAATTACTGTTAATTTCATTATAATTGAATCTTTCGATATAGGTTTGTCATTCTTAAGTACGATTCCACTATACAAATACTTTCAATCTAAATAAAGTTCTACTGTATATGCCAGTTATAATATAAACATAAATTTTTATCGCTAAATAGATAAAGTATTGAATATTACAATGTTATGCATTTTCAAATATATTAGAATAAATTAAAATAAAATTAAAATTTGTTTTATTTATACATTAAAAAAATTGCATTTAATAAACGTAAAGAAAATTATAGGAAAAATGATAAAATGTGTCAGTCATGAAAAGCAAATAAATAAAATGATATATAATTTAAAAGTACGTTTAAATAATAAATTTGTCTTCATTATTTAGTATTAAACAATGTTACCATAAAGGTTGTAACAACGTGAAGAACATAAGTAACATTCAAATGGTATAATATCTCCAAATGAATACCTTACTACAGGAAACCTTAATTTAAAATAAAGTATTTTTCTTATACAGTTTTGAAAGCAAACTTTACCACATATACAATATGTTGCAGAATCTAAATATGTTACTAATGTACGAGGTATTATACTTGCATCATAGCTCATACTAGAAAAATAATATTTTTATTAATTATTATCAGTTATTATTAATCAAATTAAAATAATATTTTTAATTATAATAATAAAATGTATATAACAAACCTTGTATTCAAAATAATCTCTGCTGCACAATCAACAAGGGATGGCACTAATATACTATAGTGACAATGAGATTGGAGAACTACTTCAAATGGATTTTCACGTATGTTTAAGTCAATTATTTGTAATTTCCTTATTCCTTCTGGTAAATACTGTAAACAGTTATGTGATAAGTCCAAATATCTTAACGAAGTTAATCTTCTCATACTTCGTGGTAAAACCGTTAGCAAATTTACACCAAGTTTTAAATTAACAAGACCATTGAGTTTTCCTATCTTATTCGGTATTTCGGTTAACTAAAATTAATAAGTAAAAATGAACTTAAGGTTTCTTTGTTTTTATATTATAAGTTTATAAAAATTAACAAAGTTTAACTTACACAGTTGGAACTCAAATCTAATAAGCATAAATTCTTTTTAATGTTATCTTGGTCCAACCAATCCCATTTAGTATTAGCATCTTTTCCAAGTCGATTTCCAGACAAAATAAGCTCTTGTAAATGTTGCATAGAACCTAAATCTTTAGGTAAAGATCTAATTTGATTATTTGATAAATTCAAAACTTTTAAATTATTAAGCCTTAAAATTTGAAGATCAAATGATTTTCTATTTAATCCATCAATGATTAATTCTTCTGTATATCTTGGAAAACCCTTTAAAGTAGGATATTCAACATTGTTTTTGATAACTAACTTTTTTCTCTGTGCATTAGGAATCTTTTTTGTATTTAAATTAGATATCGCGATGGTAGATAAATTTACTTTTTTTGACAATACAAGCTTTACAACACGAATAAAACCTTTTAATGATATTGGATCGCTTTGTATGAGTAAATCATGAGGAGGTTCTTTTATTCTAATTGTTGCCTTTCCATGTCCAATAAATTTGTCAAATATCATCTCAATGTTATCATTCACCTAAAAATTGTAAAATACATATGGAACTCTATCATAAATATATAAGAAATATTACCTTATATTTAGCTCGACATTGGTTCTTCAGCGTTTGTAATAAAATATATAATTCATTATTTTTTATTGATTGTCTTCCAATAACCAAACATCCATGTTCTGGTGTTCTTTTTAATAATGGATGCAACACATTGAGGGTACGGTCACTAACTTGAACCCGACAATTTATCTTCATTTTCACTTAACTATGATTAAATATATTTAGAATTCACAATTCTTGTAAATTTATTAATATTAATGAACACTTCAACGTAACATTTCATACGAATCATTGATAAAAAATAGATGTTTTTATTTGGCGCCAAAGTTTGTATAATGGTCTTATATCAACTTTATAAGGTTATGTTTATAAACTGTAGTGCGATTTTAGCGACAGCTATGGATAGTGTACAAACTACAAAGCTATTAGAACAACAGAAGAAAAGTATCTTCACTGTTAGTGTTTATCTTGTCAGTGAATAAACTTGTGATTGTAGGTTATATTCCCTGTATGCATCAAAAGTGAGGTTAAGTGAAGTGAATGAACAAACGGATAATATATTAAAGCTTTTTTAACTTATTCTAATGTGCAAATGTATTAGCCAATAACATTTACATTAAATATTAAAATGAAACTGCTTTGACGTAGATTTATCATATATTCAAAAAGTAATGAATATATGGTAATATTTAATCCTAATTTTAATATTTTATTTATTTAAATACTTTTCAAATTCTAAATTTCTTTATAAGAAATCTTAATACAACAGCTTTTGATTCGCTGAACCATATACAGAAATAAAAAACTTAAGTATTTTTATAAAAAGTTATCAAATCATAAAAGAAAATTTAAAAGTGCAATGCATACTATCATTAATTATGAATTATGTAATTACATTTGCACAAAATCTCTCTAATATATATTCAATTCAGATTTCTATGAAGTAGAATGAAAAGATAATTATTGCTACAAACAGTGGTCTTAAATTTGGTCATAAATTTATGTTAGGGTTTGAATGGATATTATTTATAAATAAAGATAAAATTTGTTATTTCACTTATTTATTTATTGTAATTTTTTACCACCGCGTGTTTTCCAAGCTATTATAAGATTCCATGAAAAATATAAAGAAAAACTATGAACTTGAGAAGCTAAAAGAATAAACGCATACCATAACATTCCATATGGGAGACCCTGAAATAATTTTCATAATAATATAAAGCATAACTATAGATATCATATATATATATATATGATATAAACAAACTTTGATGATATTTTACATTACTTTAATTCAATTGACTAGATAAATAATTTACCTGCCACAGTTGAATATCTTCTGATTTACCAACAGTTAAATATGTCCAAACATCTTTAAAATAGTAAACCATGGCATATAAAATTGATCCATAACCCAATATAACAAGACCAATCATATATCGTTGAAGTGTCTTTACTTTATTTTTTTTAATAGCTGATAATGCAAGGAAAGAAAGTAATAAACTTGTGCACCATATATATTCCCACCACAATGGCTGACATAAAAAAAAGACCATATTTGTACAATGAAATTGAATATAGGTAAAAAGAATATGTAATAACTATGGTCGTATGTCATTGAAAAAAAAAAGAAAAGAAAAAATATGTATACACAAGCTTACCTGTGGTATCAATAATTCCTCTATTTCCAGAATAAAAATATCAAGCCTATCTAAAATGTCTGCTGACAATTTGGCAAGCATAACAAAGAAAAGAAGATAGTGAAAAAATATGCAATACTTTAATCGTGATTTGTTCGTCGCACTGAAAAGAAAATATATATATTTATATATAAAAATTATGTGACATTTATAAAAGCTTTATTGTTTTATTCTACCAAAATATTAATACTTAACACAGAAGTTCTCAACGCTATTTCTACTATACCTAAAATAATAAGTACAAAAATGTTCTTAAAATTAAAAATGTGAAACAATAAATACCATGATCATAAAATTACATTTTTTTTTTATGCATTAATAGAATAGTTTTTTATTCATTATTATTATACATAAAAATATTTGTACGATAATTGATGATTGTAGGCTTTTCTTCACTTTTATATATACATATATATAAACACAACCCCAAAACAAAATTAAATCAGAAAACATTAGACTCCCAAGGGCAAAACCTCCTGCTATTAATAGGTATACTCATGGAAACAAGGGCATACTGTGCACAATATGTGCAATCTATATAGATTGGCAATTTATAAACTCTTAGTATATTTACGAGATTCAAATAGGAATTGATATCTTCATTATTTTATAAAAAACAGCATTACGATCAAAAATATCATTGAATGTTTTTAATCTTAAAAAATGTATGTTGTGCTGCATATTTATATATATAAATTAATTTTTATTTTTAATTATACATCACTACTTGTTAATTTATTAATTTCTGTCATAATTTTACTGACATAAATATTTTAATACATATATATAATTTACTTATTTTACATGCAATATAATATATCATACACCAGATAAAAAATATATATATATATATGTGTAGGAATAATATAACAATATAATACAAATATTAACGCAATTAGAAACTTAAAATTACGAATAAAAAACAACAAAGTAAATCTTAAATAAATTTTAAATGGATTATTTAGGCATTATTTTGTACACATATAAGATATAAACTAATATTTAGTCGAATTACAATAATACCGATAAAAGAATACTACAATTGATATAATTATTAAATAATATAAAGATCACACTTTCTTGGATTTTAATAAGCACATGCTTATTTTAATCAATAAAAGCATGAATGATGAGATTTAGACTTTGCTCACCTGACTTGATACTGCCCTGCTACTTTTTGCCTATGATTATAATCACTTCCATCTGTACCTAATGCTTGGCACAATGTAACCTTAGAAGCCATTTTCTATATTTTACTCTGAAATAACACTAAACATTCGTTTTACAATTGAGATCAATTAACGCTTAACATTCATTAGACAGTAAAATTCAAGGTTAAAACATGCGCCGAGTTATCACCGTGTGTTCGACTATTTTTGAACTTTCCCAAAGCCCCGATTGGAGATTGACGGGCTCTATTCTCAAAACTGCTCAGAATTAACCATGTCTGCCTAATAATAATTTAACTAACATAATCATAATATTTCAATTTTATTTTTATCATACGATTATTTTCAAAATTTTCAACGATTATCGAAAAAATAGAAATATTACGTTTCAGTTATATTTCAATAATTTCATATTTTTAAAAATATTAATATAAAAAATAATTTTTTTTTAATTAAAACAGATAAAATAGAACTTGATTTAGTTTTGATGTCTTTACGAACTTCTTTTTGTAAAAAATTATCGTAAGTAGTATGGATGACTAAACTTTATTATATTCGAAGTGTCCAGCATGATTAATGTTTTAATCATGAATTAAGACGAGAGAGAGAAAAAGAAATATTATTTTAAGATATTATTTTAAATATTTACAATAAATATTTTGTTTTTAATACATTTTTATTAATAATATATTGTTATATATATTTCATTTATTTGCAATAAAATTATAGCTTAAATTTCATAATTAGGGATTAATTAGTTTTGTTGTTTAAAAGCTTTATTCATATATATTTTAAAAAATCAATAATAATATTTATATTCTTATTTTATTATGTATTTTTTATTATTTATATTATTTTATATTTTATAACCTCATAAATATCAAATTTTGATTATTATAATTACATATTTAATCTTTTTATTTTATTGATAATTAAATGTATATTAATATGTACATTATAATTTTAAATACAATATTTTTCTTTTTTATACATTATAAAAATAATAAAATAATATTATCATACTAGGAAATAATATTAAAATAGAAGCAATCTGTTTTATTGCTATGTTACATGGTTCTTGTCCTGGTATTGATTGACAAGCACAAACTTCAATTATATGACCATTAACCTACAAAAATAAAGGTATAATAAATTAATATAAATATGTATATATAGATTTATAAATATATAATTTGAATATATGTATATACTTCGTAATTGTAACATCCTGATGAAATAGGTGTTTCTTTATCTTCAAGTACTCTCCCACAATAATGGGAAGCGAATATAACTAAAAATAAAAGTAATATTAATAATACTCGTATTTATAAAAAAGCAAAACAAAACTTACTTGCATTATTGAAAGTATTGGTATATTTAATGCATGTCAAGCCTTTTTGTAAAGGACACAAATATGAATCTTTAGCATTTTTATTATCATCTTTATGTTCTAAATACATTTTAGTCGTATTTGGATAAATCCCTGAAAAAGAAATATAAATATCATCCATTATACAATAATTACACTATATAATTAAAATATGTATTTATCATCTAAGAGTACAAAAAAAACTATATAAATTTATCAATAACATCATCAATTTATAGTCAGTACTTACATTCATCATCTATCATTGGTTCTACACATGGCACTCCAATATATGAGCCCCCTGTACAATTAAAATTAGCAGTATTGTTATAAAACCTTGAACCTGGCCAAGTAAATTTAAAGCAGTAAGGCTTCTCGTCTATAAAAAAACCACTAACTGTTATAATGCATTAAACAAATGAAAAATTTATCTAAAACATATATATATTAATATATATATAACCATAATTTTTATTTGCTTAATATATAATTAATAATTACCTGATGCAAAACACTCATAGCACATTAAAATTATAATTAACTTCAAAGTATTCATTTTGACAGGTACTGTTCTTAATACTGCTTCAAATCTATAGAGATAACATACTTAATCTGATAAGATTAATAGTCAGATAATTTTATGTCTCACACATTCTTATACATATTTAAAAAAATAGTATTAAAGGAATGTTTGTTAAAAAATTATTAGATATCATTATCGCTATATATATATATATATATATATATATATATATGTAGAGAGAAAGAGTTAGAAAATGAATAAAATAAATACTCATGATTTATTTAAATAGTCATCCAATGACTTCTATATTTCATATCTGATAATAATATTAAAAAATAATAACAAGCAAACTTTTATAAAAACATCATGATTCATACAGGTAAATATACATTTTATAAATTATATAATAATTTGTTCATTGAAGCTTACGATATAGAATTTTTGGTAAGAATTTTGTTATAAAAATATGAGAAACTATTAAAATTCATCATGTCTTGTTAATGCTTGTCCAAAATCAGTTGCCTGAGAACCAACGAAAATATCATATTTATCTAATATTTCATCTTTAGTAAGTTTTTGATCAGCATCTGTATCAACTTCATAAATTAAATGTCGGGCTTCTGCTTCTGCATCATCGAAATCCGCAGGAATAATCCAATTTTTTACCTATTAAGAAAACGGCAAACAGATTTTTATTAAAACAAATAAAAAGAATTATTATACTTTGATATAACTAACTAACCTCTTCAAAATCCATAAAACCATCACGGTCTTTATCTCTGTAAGATGAAAATTGTTCTTTTTCATTCTTAACCCATTCGGGTTCTTCTTCTTCACCTGTACTTCTATACATGTCTCCTAAAAAGATAATAAATAATGCAATTGAATATATGAATTGCAAATATCATCACTTATAATTACTTTATTTTAGTTACCAATATATTCAGCAACTGATATTTTTCCGTCTCCATCTTTATCAATATCTTCCATAGTTTCTAATACTACAATATCCTTCATATGATTAGCTTCTTCTGCATGCAGAAATGCAGCAAATTCTTCTTTTGTAAGAGCATCATCACCATCAAGATCAGCTGCACTCCAACGTCTGCGATCTCTTTTGAGCATTGCTTCATAAGAAAATGTTTCCTCTTCTAATTTATCTTGATTATTACTTTCATTTTCATTGATATGTCCATAAAGTTTGTCTTTATATTCTTTCCATGGTAGTTTATCTTTTTCTTTTAAATTATAAGATGCCCATTGATGATTAATATCATCTTGAATATATCGTCGCTGAGTATACAATATCCAATCTTTAAGTTCTTCTTTGGTAACAAATCCATCTTTATCCACATCTATTTTATCAACAATTATTCCCAATCTTCTAGTACTTTCCTCGGGGCTTAATTGATCAAATGTTTTAGCATCTTCTCCAAGGAAAGCCTCATGATCGTAACTTGGATTATGTTGCGAATTAATGTAATGTTCCTGATCACTTAAATCCTATAATTATACATATAGACATATAATAAATGTATAAAAGCATTAATTAAATATTTTTTTTTTATATTACAATTAAAAATATTTTGCATAATAAAATATAAATTTAAATTACATATATTTATAAACATTTCTAATCAACAATATTTCTTATATTTTATTTATTTATTTAAATAAATAAAATAAATTTGTAAAAGGCAAATAAATTAAGGTTACATACTTTTGAATCACTTTTATTAAAAGTCATGTAATTTAAATCAGTAATTAAATGGGCATTTATTCTGTGACTTTTATTTTTCATTTCTAATTAAATGTTTATTTTTATTTACCTTATGCAGTACACGTTGTTTAGGCCCGTCCTCCGGTTTTGGAATAGCAGTAGCCGAAATAGTTAGAATAAATAAAATTTGAAAAACTGTGAGCTCTTGCATTGTTTTTAATATTGAAAAAGTATGAAAATATGAACAAAACTTTATTTTGATATATATTAATCTTTAAAATTGCACAATATACGATTTTTTTCAATAAAGTACGATTTTTTATATGACATAGACCAATCCTTCAGCATCCACATCAGCAAATCTTAATGTCTTAACCAATGTTAGGCCCCCACTTACGAACTGTATATTTCCTTAAAAAAAACTCGCACCGTAATACCGTTGTTGATCCTATAAGCGCTTGCTATGAACGTTATTTTATCCAACAACGTTCGGGAGATGTTCTACGTTCAAACCTACGCGCTTAATTTAGGTCACTATGAAAGGAGTATGCGTGGAAATTTAATCGAATCATTTACATACGATCAAATTAATTCGAATGCAAACCAACAAATTATATAAAATTCTATATTTTTCTATATTTTTTATAACAAAATAAATAAAAATGCATTCCTCCATTAAATATTAAAATATTTAAAATCATTATCAATTTAATTTAATATATTCCACTTACTTGGTTATGTTCCTTAACTTAACTCAGATAATTACTAGATTTTATAGCAAATATTTTTTTGTATACTATAAAGGTTTTTATATTAATTTAAAAAAAATATATTCAACGCACACAAAGTATTTACATATTATTAATAGAAGTTGTATTCATATTGGTTAAGTAAAAAGGTAATTAAAAATATTAATAGGATTTTTAATTTATTTATTTAATACAAAGAAATTAATCCTGACTTGCATCAACATTCTCTGTTTGGAGGCCTTTAAATGAGGCTACAGGAATATATGTTACAAGTGTGTACAATTTATTAGCGGAATCTTCATCATCATTTCTTCTTCTGCTTAATCGAACACGAACTCTGAAAGGAACGTTCCTACAAACAAACAAATATTTTTTCAATTGTTTATMGAATAAATTATCCAATTTATATTTTAAAGAGGAAGTATTATTTTGATAACGTTTTTAAAAAGATAAATATTTAGTTATATGAAGAAGAAAATTTACCTGATTCCTTTAGACCATAACTGTTTATTAAGACGGGTATCAATCCTTACATCAGGTGTACCCATTTGTTTTTCAGCAAACTTCCTAATCTCTTTGATTGCTCTTGGTGCACGTTTTTTAAATCCAACTCCATGAAGTCGTTTGTGAAGATGAACTGTATATTCACGAGTCACTACTTCATTAATAGCACTTTTTCCTTTCTTCTCAGAAGACTTGGCCATTTTTAACCTCAAAAGATCAATGAATATATCTTTTTATTCATGCTCATAATAGAAAGATTCATTTAATAAAAACATTAATTTAAAAAATAACACTTATTTTCTCTCGTTTAACTAACTAATAATTATATTATAATTAAAATTAAATAATTAAAAGATAAAAACGTTTACAATATTGTCAATACACACAATGCATTCCCAACAGTGTAAATATAAATATTTTACTATGAAAAATTAGAGGAAAACTAAAAAAAATATTACATAAAATCTAATCAAAATTTAAACATAAATATAATTTCATCAAGGATAAAAATTTATTACCTGCTTAAAATCAGATGCCCTTAGATTTTATTTAACAGAAAGTGTAGGTTCCTTCTCCGATCGAAGGTCCATACAAAAGAACTGACATGCGTGTTCGTAAAATTACTCTACCGGGTATTCGAAAAATTATTGGTGACATTAGTAAATAATTACGTATTAATCAAAACAAATTTATAATCATCGTTATTGCCTAATATTCAAATTGAAATGATTTTTGATTATATTATTAGAACAGAGAAATTAATAAATATTATTACAATGATTGAAATTGTAAAATGTTATACTTATTAATACTCACCAAGAGCTTTGTGATATGATTGGTTAACAGATGTAATACGTATATGATTGGCTATCATAGAAAAATTGTTTTGGACTTTAAATTTTATTTAAAAATTAATTTTATGGAAAATGCAAAAACACTGAATTATTAATAAAAAATAATATTTTCATGGGCATCTGTTGATTATATTTTTATACAATTAAATAACAAAATTAAACATACATTTATGCATATATAAAACATATTGTTTATCTATATTTCTGTAGGAAATAATGTAAAAAGAAATTTTAAAAGTAAAAAGGATTTATATACTATTTTATTAGTATATAAGAGTATATATATTGAGTAGTTTATATTTACGTGCATATATATTACATATGTCATTTTTTTATCCACTTGCTGTGTACTATACATTTATTTTTTTATGGCTTAAAAAAATGTATTATATTAGAGGGCGCATAACATAATTTTTATGTAGTCGTGTTCAATATGGCGAACATGTTGAAAGTAGTGGTTATCGCAGGTAATTTTAAGTTAAAATAGACGTAAATAGTTATAGTTATTTTATACTTTAGAAATATGAAGTGTATGCAGGTATAATAATTTATTAAAGTGCATTCATATAAATTTCTAACGATTGCAATGGTTCGTCGGTACAAGAATATGTGTGAACTATGTAAAGTTTCAGTTTCAAGGTCTATATAGGGAGTTGAATTAGACAGTTGCGTCGTACGTAAACAAGTGGCTTATACATTTTTATTTATTAAATTGTAATAATTCTCCATAAAATAGCAATATGATTAGATTCCGTTAATAAACCTTGAAGTTTAAAACATTGTATGTCATCAATTTAATATATATGTATAGCAATGGATACTTAATTTAATTTTTTTATCCTATAAAATCAATTGCAATATTAAATGGAAAAATAAATGAATAGATCACTTTTATTTGTACAAATTATTAAAAATGATAGAAGTTTTAAATATATTTAATTAAATAAAATAAAAAATAGAATGGTAAAGTATATTGTAAAATGAATTTAGTTTAAAAATGATAACATATGTACATGTATATTATGCATGCATCCATATCATGCATATACAAATAAGTATTATACTTACCGACATGAATACATAAAAAAAAGCTAAGGAAATATAAATAGGAATAAGAAGTATTCTATAAAAAGGAGTTATACAATAATCTAGAACTGGTTATTAATGGGTATATAGAATATTCGAATTCATTATCATTTTTATAATCAAAAGTAATTATTGGAGTATTACTACTACTACTATATTATTATTATTATTATTATTATTATTATTATTATTATTATTATTATTATTATTGTAAAAAAAAGAAGTAATTCTTTTTTATTAATTATATATAAATTTGTTTTATATTTGCAGATGTTGTGCATAAAATTGCAAATAATTACTTATATAAATAGAATGAAAATCTTATAACATATCAGAGAGAAGAAAATGTACAATGAACTACGGTGGAAATATTTCGGATTGGCATCAATACAACTCGGTGCAGACAAATTTAAATGAAACAACATCAACCGATCATAATGTAAATGCAAATCGTTTAGCATTTATGTCTAGTGGTAGTCCATCTTCATTAAATGCTCTTAATACTGAAGGCTATAAAAAATACCAAAATGAAGCCAACTTCAGTTCTAGACATTTTCCACCTATGAACAATGTTTCAAATGGCTCGAATAATACTGATAACTTTGCAATGCCATCAGTGGTGCAAATGCAAGGATATATTGGACAGTATGGTCCTGTGGTTAATAGAAACTCTGTTATGGATAATGTAAAAGCTCCGGTTGATATAAGAAATGGATCGATGAATACATTTAATGATGATTACAGATACAGAAATAGTCATATGGCGCTTCCTGGACAAAATTCTCATTTAAATGGATCCAATATGAATATAAATGCACCTGTCACCTCTATAGGATCACGAACTAATAATATGTGTGCAGCATCTTCTGTAAGACAAGGACCTTCATCTTTCATACCTTGTAAAGCTCTGTGTTGCAATCCAAATACAAATATAGGTTATCAACAATGGGATAAATTTGGAACTTATCAATCTAATACACCATATAGAGAAAATATGCGTTTACCTGGATATCAAGCAGATAATAGACAATACGGTGATCATAATTTTCGAAAAGATAATTTTGAAAATAAGGAAATGTTAGGCTCTATTATTCCTAATACGGATCATAGAAGAAACTTTCCAGAATATAAATATAATAAGGATTCTACAATGTCTAGAGGTTGTTCAGGTCCATCAGGAATGATACAAAATTATCCAATTCCAAATTACAATTATCCAGCAGAGTGTCAGAAATATTCTTATCCTATGAAAGAATATCCAAAGACAAATAATATGGGTTTACAAGATGCAACTGTTTTTAAACATCCAGAACAAAATTATATTGCACAACAAAAATACAATGCTAAACAAGGTCAATATGCGACAAGTAATGTTTTACCTAAAACTGTGTCCACTTTGAATGACAGTGTAGATATTACAGCTTCTACCCAGAATTCTTATTACGCTGCACAATTTATAAGAAACGTACCAACAGAATTTCCACGTACTTGTCAAAAAGCTTTTGATAATTCACAACAAGTTGCTGCAATGCAATCTACACCTGTGCATAGCACTTCATCGCGATACCATTCTTATCAGCAAAAAATTGCAATGCAAAGATTTTCTATGGAAAATCATTTGAGAGAATTTACAAGAATACCTGGATATCAATCACATCCAAAATACAAAGAATCTGTTCTTAGATATAGAGAAATATTAAAATTACAACAGTCACATGGATATCCAGCAGCAGTTCAACATCCTGTAAGAATTGCATCAACGCCTGTTGATACTATTCCATCTATAAATTTGCAATTTGATCAGAATGGAGTTTTAATAAACCCTACTTATTTATCTGATGGTTTTCCAAAAACTCAACAACATACATTGAATGCAGATTCAAAACATTTAGAAAAACATGGAAAAGAACAAGATTTATGTCCATCTGATTTATCTAATGAAAATAATCTACACCCTAAACAAACAATTAATCATTCTCCAAAAGAACATTCATCATCCTTGTATCAAAATGATTTTCAAAATCAAGACCAGCTTTTAATACAAAAATGTAGCGAACAAACTGAGTTTAAAATACAAGAAAGTGCAGGAGATGGCATAAACTCAAGTAATGCTGATACTATAACTGAACAAGAGAAAACATCAAAAGATTTTGCTGATAAGCCAAACCTTGATGTTCGACAATTTTTAGCAAATTGGGATGCATCAGAAGATGAAGAAGATTCAAATACAAATTTGCCGCATGTTGTCTTAAATGATTCAACACCATTGGTAGTTGTAGAATATGAAAGCATTGATAACGCTTCAAAAATACCTCATAATGTGAATGTAAATAAAGAAAATATCACTTCTTCAAAAAAACATGATAAAGTGACACAAGAGTATTCACAATCTTTAGATTCTCCTTCTCAGAGTACTGAGCCATTACAAAATTTAACTGAATATAGAAATAAAGATATTACAAAATCTGGAAATATAATACATTATATAACCAACAGTAGTGATGACATTCCAACGATACATATAGTAGATAATGTACAAGTAAATAATATTTTGGAGGTATCTAATAATCAAATTATAGAAACCTTAGAACATCAAGGTTCAATACCATTTTATCGAGAAAATGTAAATTTAGAAGAAGAAATAAGAAAATGTGATGATAATAAGAAAGACAATTCTACAAATGTAGAAGCTTTGAACAAAAATACATATACCAGCAATGATACTTTGTCTGAGAAAGATAAAAAGTCTTCAATTCAGAATACCAATCAAGAATTAAATGCTTTGGAAACAGTATCAAAAAATAATTTAAATGGACAAACTACAAACTTACAAAAACAAAATAGTTTCGCAAGTGAGGAATCACATAACACAGATGATATCAGTCTACCTGATTTGCCTACAACTGAGTGTACTCCAATATCCACTACTCTAAATACACCTATTCATTCAGACAGTGAAGAACCATCAGAACGTGAGTCTTCTATATCTTCCAATCCTATAGAGATTATACAAAATAGTCCAATAATTAGTTTTACTCATTCTCCTATTAAAATCGGATCCTATGAACATTTAGATGATACTGTTATTTCTAAAGAAAATACTTTACTTCAATTTAATTTAGAAGAAGCAAATCAATCTAATAATAATAGTATTAATTCATTTGAAAATACTATAGCTTCGAACAATTTTAATAAAGCTGGTAAAGGTGAAGTTATTGAAGCATCTAGAAACAATAAATTGCAAACCAGTTCTAATAAAAATTCAATTATGACGAATACTAAAAAAATAGATAAACAATATAATGAAAAATCATCTGATGTATGTGAATCTTCAACAAATGAGTATGAATCAGAAAGTGCACCAATTGATATGCACAAAAATTCTATTCAAAACTCCAAGAATACAAAAGTCGACAAAACCAATAGTAATAAATTTCAAAGCATTGAAGATCCTTCAGAACCTATAAATTATAAAATATCAACAACACTGACTGAAACATCTCAATCTACATTAAAAAACAAATCAAGTGAAAATAAAGAGCAGTATATGATAAATACTGTTCAAAATAATGATAGAAGTCCTGAAATGAATGTTGAAATAAGAAAACAATCAAAGTGCTTGTTTGCAACTAAATTAAAACAGGACATTCCTAATGATAAAAGTCCACTATCATTGATTTCAAGGGAAAATATAGAGGAAGGACACACACTACGATACATGGAAAAAAATACTTCATCAAATATTAAAAATATTTTGCCCGTTCCAAACATATATGCATCTAGAGCTGACAAATTACAAAATGTAAATACTGTATCAATACAGAAAAAATGTCTAGATACGTTAACCAATAATAAATTACGTTCTAAAAGTCCTCAAAATGTTTGTGCAAATAAAGAAAAAGATAGAGAAGGTTTTTCTAAAGATCTTCGAAATGAGTCTAAACATCAAGAACTTACAAAAAATTCTGACGTACATTCATCTTCTATGGATAATGCTAGTTTAATAGAAATGTTACCTGGCCATGTAACACATAACAAAAATTCTATCTTAGATACTAAAAATAATGCTAAACTGGAAAATGATACAATAAATAAAAAAGAAGATAATGAACATATTTTTGTAAAAGAAGAAAAATCTATATCTATTTCTAAAAAAGTACATGGTCAGTTACAGAAGAGTGACGAAATCTGCAAAATAAATGCAAACGCTGATATTACAAATGTTTCTCAGGAAGATCATAACCAAAGTAAAATTTTAGAAAAAAATAAATCTCAAAAGAATTTCAATGAATACATGGAAGTAAACAATGACATGATGTATCTTGATAAATGCATTGATAACAATAAACATATAGAAAATAATTATTTTAATAAAAGATCTATATCACGATATACAGGTACTCAATTTCAACAGTGTGATTCTGCAATAGAAGATACCCAAGCATTAGAGAAGAATACAAATTTAAAGAATAAGGTAGATTCAAGTCAAACGTCATCTTCTACAACCGCTATTTGTTCTATTACTTCCGAAAAATCAGAACAGGAACAGCTATATACTGTTTCTAAAAGTTTCACAACAAAAAATGTAAATTCTGATTTTGAAATTAAAGTTACAAATGTTAATTTAAAATTTACGGATAATGATATATGCAAAGAATTAGTCACTTTGAGAGATAAGAAACAAGAGAATTTAAATAGTTGCTCTGAAGGAATTAAAATTGAAATAAATGTATTGTGTGCAGAGCGTAATGCCAAAGAAAAGTTATTGCAACAAGAGTCTATAAATGTGGATAGTGAAATGATTGATCAATCAAATCATTCTGTATACGGTAACAAGAGTACTTGTTTATCAAATATAAAAGAATATGACATATATGGAAAATTAGATACAGAAAAAGGAAGTAATAAAATTGATGGAATTACAAATCACAATCGATGTCAGAGTACAGATATTTGTTATGGAAGTGTGGAAAATATAATGAAAGAACAGGAAGAACCTCTTAGTTTAATAGTTCGAAATAAAACAGTACCAACAAATAAAGAAGATACACTACCTCAAGAATATTCAAAAAGAAAAGAAACATTATCAAAGGATGTATTTAGTAGATTAGAGAATTCTATGGGAGATAATAACTATACAGAAATTGATCAAGAAATTACATCCGTTAATACTTCCAATGAAAGAAAGAAACAACATACATCATTGAATTTAGTCGACAAACCTAATGATACAAAAGATGAAAGTCTATGCTATACAAAAATGAATGATTTACTTAATAAAATTGACCAAGAAAATGAACCTTCTAATGTAATCTACAGTTGTGCTACATCTAACGTAAATTGTATGCAAAATAGCGCTAATACAGAACATATATCAAAAATGAATAATACGCAAAAAAATAAAATGAAAGATTCATCATCTGCTTCATATAAATATAAAGATAAAAAAGATGAAGAAGAAGAAGACGATAGTTCGTCCGATAAGAATGATGATATGCCAAATATTGTAACAATACATGTTAAAACTGATAACATGAACAACGAAAAATTTGCAGAACTTGATTTTACAAATTTCGACATATTTTCTAATGAAAGTAATAAAAGTAATGATAATGAGCCAGGAAAATGGAGACGTCCTGTAACTCCTATAGTAAATCAAACATTAGAAGAATGTGATTTATATGGAAGTACTAGTGGTTATGTAAATCCTATTTTTACTAATATAGAAGAATCAAATAACAGAAATGAAATTCCTGTATATAGAACTAAAGATGGAAAGATAACTTATAGTCCTAATCCCAAAGCTTTAGTCCTGGAAAATAAAGAAAGAGCTTATTGTAATGTAGAAGAATATTCACCACATAAATATAACAATCATTTAAAGATGAATACTTCTGTTAAAAAAGAAAAAGATATAAATAATTATAAAGAAAGGATATCGTTGGAATGTAATGATACAAAAATCGCTTGGAGTGAATCAACTGATAAAAGTTTTTCTGAATATTCTAATAAGAATGAGAATAGTAAACAAAATATTCACTCTATGAAACATCAAGCACTAGATTTAAAACATTATTACCACAAAATAGAAAAACAATATAATAGTACAACTGATAGTCAAGTACATAAAGAGTACAATAAAGATCTTTCTGACTTTAAATGTGAGGAACAAAAACAGCATGGCAATGAGGATAATTGTAGTACTCATAAAGATAGTTTGAAAAATGAGGCTACAAAAGAATCTGAAAGTCATAAGAAAAAGTTAAAAGATATCTTTGATAATAATATTCATTCGAAAGAAAAGAATATGAGAAAAGCAGAGATTTTAGGAGTAACTGAAGCATATACCATGTATCAGAATACAAGAAGTAATTCTATTCAAAAAAATAGTCATAATGATACATTTTCTTTGCATAAATCTACTGATAGCTTTGTACAAAAACCCAGTTCAACGGAAAGCTGTGATATTAAATCGAAATACTGCGATACAATTAAGGAGTCAATTGTGCCTTATGCAATATGTGATCAATCAGTTACTGAATGTTCTTTAAACCAAAGTAATAAATTAACAAGTGAGAAATCAAATTCTATTATAAAATTAGAGAAGAAAAAGTTTAAGCCTAATATAAATCAACTTAAATTCTCGGAACTGTGTTCGGAAGAAGATCGTTTTAAAGGCAAAAGACATTACACTAATAATCTCATGAAACATAATTCATTTTCTGAAGATCTAGAATATTTTAATGAAAAAAAGATTGATCCAAATATTATTCATTTAGAATCAGAAAATATCTGCACAAATATTACAAAAAAATCAGAATCACCAATTACTTCTGAAATATCCAAATATAAAAGACATTATGAGCATTTCCATGTAAAATGTGAAATAGGCTCTGATGAAAGTAATACAAATTTTGAAACAGAATTTGATAATACAGGGAATATTTTGAAATATGCAAAAGAGAATATTGTAATTTCTAAAAAAGATGTTCTTCTCACAACAACATTAGATGTAGAATGTTCGGATTCCTTGAAACGATTACATAATTCTAAACAAAAAGAAAAGATAGGATATCAGGATGAGAGCAATGGTGAAACAGAAAATACAAATTTTTCATTACAGAACGAAGTATCTAAAAGTAATGAGGATGAAAATTTAAATCAACAAATTACAGAAGCTAATATTTTCTACACTGACAATAATATTATTTCTGAAAAGGGATGGAGACGGTTACCTTCAAATTGCTTAAAAAATGATGAAATAGAAATCATGGGAAGTGATATAATTAGTCCTAGTAATTTCGATAGTGAAGTACATATTATTCATGGAGATTCTATGCATTTATCACAAATGAAAAAATCGAAAATGCCTAAAATTATTTTGGAAACTGAAGAGTCTTCTTTTAACGAAATAAATAACAGTGATTGTCAGAATCATAATTTCATAACAACAGACCATAAATATGATATTCCTTTTTCTAGAGAAGAAAAAATAAAATCTGAATCAATGTATATGGATCAAAACAAAGATGAAATTATTTCATTAGAGTCTGTTATTTGTAATAAAAACATTGATTCCATTGAAAAAATAAACAAAGATAAAAGTACGGAGAAGAGAAATTCTATCTTTTCGTTAAATTCGTCGGATAATTCAGAAATTAAAAATATAATAAAAGATGAAGTTTTTTCACCAAACAATGTCAATGAAATAGACATTGTTGAAGAATCATCGTTAAAACAAGAAGATATAAATACTTTGAAGTATCAAAATTATAATGTATCAGATGTAACAAATGAATCACAAGAGAGTTCAGAAACAGTTAATACAATAGAAAAAGAATCACAAAGAAAACAATTAAAAAATAATTTATATTGTATTGAAAATAAAAGTAATAGTAATTCATATTTATCTTCAAAACAATCAAGAAATTGTGATGTTGAAGCTTGTAATATCCCAGAATTGGAGGATATATCAAAATTAAATTTAGAAACAAATACAAATGTAATTAATGAAATTTCAACAAATGATATAAACAATAAAGTGGAAGAAGAGCGTTCTTTATCCCCTCCAGATATTACTACTACTGCATATATTAATACAAACTATCCTTCTACATCAGATTGCAATGAAAATATACAAATGATTTCTAGAACTATTATTGAAGAAAATGAAACAAACACAGATTCAAGACCTGAACTGTCTTCTCAACCTAAAATACCTAAAATGATAATCCGAAATACTGGATCCTGTTCTACATCTGTTGCAGAAGAAATATTAGAAACATCATCAGAGTATCCTTCTTTTGCACTTAGTAAAGTTAAACATTCTACTTTTATTATTGAGAATGAAGAAGATAAAGAAAGAAGTGACAGTGATTCTGAAAGTTCTTTACATAAATATGATTTAAATAAAAGTAGAGTACCTAAAATGAAAATAAAATTTAATGACAAATCGTTAAAAAAGAATATTGAAAGTGACAATATGGAAATTTCTTTTAAAAGGAAACATATGAAAAAAATTGTTCCTAAAGTAAAAATAAAGAAAATTAGAACTGAAGCAACAACTATGCAAAATGAACGAGCAGAATCTTCATTATTAGTGATGGAAGTTAAAACTTCTAACACAACAAATGAGACTAGTTCTAATAAAATGTCATTGGTTAATGAAGAAATAAAACAAGAGAAAATTCCTAAATTAAAACTGAAGAAACCTCAAGAAGTCATTTTACCTATGGAATCCATTCGAAAAAAAACAAACGTAAAAACCGTTGATTTAGCAGTGAAAAAATATAAAAGCGATAAGAATGAAATAAAATTGACTCAAAAACATGAAGATATAATTGAATCAATATTGAAGCAAAACGATAATTCGTCTGTGTCTGAACGTGAAGTCAAAAATAAATTATTACCCTGCATTTCAGAAAAGGTTCCAAAGGTTATAATCAAACGTGCCTCTGCGAGTGCAGAATTTAAATGTGAGTTTAGTGAAGGTGGTAGTGATACAATAATAAATAGCTCTAAATGGCAACCAGAAGTTAAATTACAAAGATCTCGACATTTAGATAACATGGTAAAGGACCTAAAATACTGCCGAATATCTAAAGCATATATAACACGAAAATGTATAGATATTATTTCTTCACACAAATCAAGAAGAATATTTCGAGATAAAAGACATAATAAATTGAATAAATTATATAAATCAAGTTCTATATCGGATTTGTGTCCAATTAAATACGAAGAAAGTGGAAAATTAAATTATAATTATAGTAATAACAAGTTATCTGATACAGAAGTTACACCTATTCGTGAAGGAATAGAAGAACATAATGAGTTATCTATAAAATCAATTAGCAAGTACAAATTTGAAAAGAATCTATGGGACATAGATGATAAATATTTAGAAGAATCTTGTGTTTCTGATGATATTGTAGATAAATCTTTATATAAAAATTCAGACGATACAGATAATAAGGACCATTCAATAATAAAAACAGATACTACAAATATAACAAATAACCCTTCCTTAAAAAATAATGCTGATAATAGTGATCTCAATACTATAAATTTTAATGCTAATTCTACAAATAATGTAAGTAAAATACCATTAATCACGCAAAATGACTTGAATCATTATAATGATAATGAAAATAATAAGTTTCCTAGAAAAAATAATGACTCTGAATTAAAATCTTCGAAATCTGATATTACAACAGATGATTCTGTAGATCATGATTGTTCGGTTATAAAATTGGATTCCTCGGACGAAAGTCAATCAACAATAGAAATTTTGCCAGCTTCTCCAGACATAAATCAAGTTGGAATAGAAGAACCTAATAACAGCCTTAACAATGAGGAAACTGAACAATTGTATTCAGAAGATGCTATACCTACTCAATTTGAATTAGAATTAGAAGTTACAGATACTAATATTGACTCTGTAGTAACACCACCTCTAAGACATGAGTTAAATTCTGAACATTTTAATGATACACAACTTAGAGCATGGCAACTAAACCAAAAAATACAAGATTTTCATGATTTAAAAAATTATACAAATCAAGATGTTCCACTTGCTAATAATAATCAACAAAGCTCTGAAGTTTCAGAAAAAAATAAAATATCTAGCAAACAAAATATTTCATTATCAATATCAACTCTTACACATGACAGTTCAGAGAATCATACAATGGAAACGACAATTGCATCTCGTGAGAACCTTTATTGTAACGATTTACTTATGAAGGAAGTATTAGCTGCTAAAGAAATGTTGAAAAAATGTTTATCTATGTCTAAAAATGACACCACTTCAAAAAATAAACCAAAATTGAGATCACTTATAGAAAAAAATAAAGATTCTTATCTTACCTCTAGTAGTCATAGAAAAACATTTCTTAAGACTGTTACTACTCATCATACATATGAAATAGATCAAATGAATCAGCAACAATCAACGAATAAATTAAATATAAAAAAGATAGGGGAAAAGAATTGTAATGAAGTAATAAATAAAGTTATACAAATTACCAAATGTACAGAGAAAAAAGATATAAAACATACTGATGTTAATGTGCAAAGTACTTTAGTTTCTGCACAAAATTCTCCTATAATATCATTGAAAACTCTTAAACGATACAGTCAATCTGTGCCAAATAAAAATATATCAACTTATGCGAAATATCGTAAAATATCGGAAGAAGATGAGAATGAACCTTTAATATGTCAAAGTAGTCATACTCATCAAGTGAAAGATAAAGATCAAGATGTTAAAGTTGAAAAAAATATGACTCATCCTAAAATTGAAACGACATCCGATAATGAAGATGTACAAATTGAAAATGATAAAAATTTTAATCAATCCAATAAAAGAGAAGACAATATGCCAATATTAGAACCAGAAATTGCTTTTAGTTTCGATGGAAGTTCAGATAGAGATAGTTCAAGATCACCGCCTGTTATAACAAATCAAGAGATTGTAACTACTCAAAATGAAATATTAAAATGCTTGCAAGGAGAAGTATTAGCATCAAATGATAAAAAAGATGATAAAAAATATATAGCAAAAGAATATGATATGACTGTAAATGATATTGTTAGACAATTAGCTTATCATAAAAAGGTAATATATGTGTGTTTTATTATTATATAATTTAAAATATTAAATATTATTATTAAAATATGTATTTAAAAATAACAAAAGTACAATATTTTAAATTATAATGTTTTTATATTCGTACAGTCAACAATAAGGCATAAAAGATATTGTAATTTGTGTGAAAAATGGTTTCCAACGACATCTCGTCATAGACGACATTTAGCTGGATATCAACATCGTCATATAGAATTGACACAGCGAAGAGCAATTCATGCACTTTTTATTCTTTTTACTGGCAAACCTTGTTCGAAACTATTACGAGCTACTAGTATGCGAAATGATTGTTCTATAGGAGAATTGACACCTTTACAAATTGCTGTTCAGGTAGTATTTTTTATTACAGATTAATCTATAATGTTTTTTTTCGTGAATAATCTTATATATACATTATTATTTATTTTAATAGGATTTAGCTAAATTCTTGGATGGTACAGAACCGGATCTATTAATACCAAATAATGTCGAGAAATAACCAAAAGTAGTTATTGAATTACGTAACGTGTCAAGAGAGATGGGCAAAAATTTCATATTTCAACTAATCATTAGATGACAGTCCACATGTTTTTGACCACATCAGTATAATGGAGTTGATTGGAATTAGCTGAGTAAGCTAATATTTGTTACTTCGTTGACCGTATGTTACCTGAAACAGTTACTTTATGTAGTAATTAACTATTTAACCAAAGACTTTATTAGAGTAATAATGTAACTAAAACTACTATTATATAAAGGTTTGAGACTTTGCACCAAAATACCGCAATGCTGTATGCTAGTGCATAAAGCTGTTGTTTGAACTTCACAAACAGCTCTAAATAAAATGGCTGTTGTTTATTCTTTATAGTCATCACATGATTTTTACACATATGTAGTGCTGTTTATAGAAGAGTGTGTTCACTAAGGCATGATTTTAAAAAATGGACTTTCGAGCCAACAATATTGCAATTTTTAAAGGCTACTATGATGGCTATTAGTTTATATACACATGGTTATGAATGATTTAATCTATATATGTGTCTGTGTATATATATATATACAAGCACATACACATATATATATATATATATAAACGAATGTTTATTTATATATAAAGAAAATATATCTACATATAGATACATATATATGTATACATGTGTAACTTACGGATTATATGTATACCTATATATTTATTGTTCCAGTTTTAAAAATATGTACACATGTACACACATATATATATTTAACAATGTTTAATTATTATAAGTTAAATATATAGGCATATATTATGTCATATCTTTTAAAATGAAGAAGATATATAAACTATAAGATGTTCCAATATTCAATTATACATATATTAAAATAATGAACTGTAAGATGCTGTATTGTACATTGATTGAGTAGATCGAACAGTTAATATTTTTATTTGTTAGATTTTTTGTAGTCTCTGATAAAACTTTTATTTGTTATAGTATCACTTATTAACAATTATTTTATAATTAATCGTGCAATATCTTCAATCAAATATTACAAATAAAAAATTAATTCTAACCTTGCAATGTTTCTATAAGCGTAATTAATTATGGGATCAAATGTTAGTATAAAAAGAAGGCTTGGTTACTTATGGATACAAAAAAGTATATATATCTTCAAAATAGAATGAAAATATTTATATAAGAAAGTGCTTATAATATAATTTTACATATAACAACATTTACAGAGCCATATGTCGTCGATAATGACTTTTCATGTGTCTTTTGTACTTTTCACATTTTGTGCCTTCTAAGTATAAATTAAATATTGAAAATTGTCATGAATATAAGTATTTACATATAAATTGCACCACATAAAGTGACTAGAATACATAGAGTAATTCTTATATAATTTTATCATCATATTTAGATTTATACGTTAATTTTTAAATTGAATTTATAATTGTTAACTATTTTAATTATTTATCAAAATCCTTTAAAGCAAAAAATTGAAATTGCTAATAAAAATGTTCTACTTAATTTTTAACAGACATTAATTATAAATTGTAAAGAAGCATTATTTAAAATTCAATTATTTATTACTGAATAGAATTTAACAAGATTGTTTGTTTGAGAATTTTCAAAGCATATATAATGCTTTGTTACATTTCTCTAGATAATAGAATTGTTATATCTCACATATTACATATAATTTATGATGTTTTATTAGATTTTTAACATAATTTCCTAATACTTACATAACGTAAATTTATGTAATGTATATATGTGCAAGGTTTCTAGCTATAAAAGGAAATATTTATTTCGAATCATTCCAGTATACTTTTAGAAAAAATGAAAAATATCAAATATTCGTATAATTTCGTGATTTTCGATATAAAATTAACTTATAGTAAAAAATACTATATTTATTTAACAACTAAAAATTATTATGCATAACTGCATAAACTGAATGACTGATTTCAATTTAACTTTCTATACAGAATTATTCACTATTTATTCAAAATTAAACCAAAGTTTACCAAAAATTGCATTTCTTGCATGTTATATGATATTGATTATTACAAGAAATATAAATTTTAGTTCATGATTTTAATTATAATATCACGAGAAAACAGTTAAATATTAGTTTCTTATAGCAACTTCATTTATTTGCGATCCAAAGACACTATTATGCAATTCAAATTTTTATATAAAACTTTGTATATATATATATTGAAATATGGGTACATTAGATACAATTTTAATCTTTTCTAATACCACCAATTTCATAATCATTTTATTCTAATAAAAAAAAGTAAATTTTAAATATACCTATACATTCCACGCTATTTTAATATTACACATAATAGATTTTCCTGTAATCATTTATTTGTTTTCTGTTGACAGTTGAATATATATAAAACCTTTTTTAAAAATATTACAAATTAAATTGTAAATCGCAAATGTATTTTATTTTAAATATTCTTTATAGTTTATGAATATAATTGTTATCATTTATAATTAAACTTATAATTACTTTTACTTAAAGATTTTATAATTTTAATTTGAATTCGGATCAACAGGGATAAGATGTATTTTAATATAAAGAAAAATTAATATATATATATATATATGCTCATTTTTATTTATCACTGTAAATAATAAAAGAAAAACAATATAATCCGATCAGCACATATCGATACATAGATCAAATAGAAGAGTTTTATTTCTTATTTATTATTTACAAACAATTTTATTGACTTACATGTAGAATCGTTGCTAAATTTTATGCTAAGTTTTGAGGACGAATCTATTAAATTACATTTTCATTTAACTTTGTGCTTTACTTGCACAAGTGGCGTGGCAAGATCCTATGTATGTGACTGTGTTGTAACATACACTTATATATTGTGAAAAAAATACATAATTCTATATATATATATATACATATATAGATGCATTCTATGTACTTGCAACAGTTCCATAAATATTTACATAGTATATACGTAAGTTATAAGAGGCTATAAATTGTTATAATTATTTTTATGTAATTTTAAGTCAATTTATTTATTTATTCATTTGAAAAAATTAATAAAATAAATAGTAATAAGCTGAAAAAAATATATTATTGCTTTATTACAAATAATTACAATTTATAATTATGCTTGGTGTGAGGGTAATATAAATTTGTTGGTTTTATTATATAATTGCGTGTTATATACAAACGTTTACAATTAAATGTTGTTTCATACATATGTGCACATTGTTATATTAGCATATTTCTGTATCTATAATAAAGAAATATTATAGATATTAATAAATATTTACGTAAATTTCTTTGCGCATAAATAAATAAGTATAACGTGATATTTTGGCAGATAAATATGCTAATTATCCATTAAACCAATAGGACCCAATATGTACGCCGTTAATAGATCAGATTTCTTGTCAGATCTAATAAATTAAATTATTTCACAATAAAATTATTTGTAGTTTAAATTTGAATTGCGAAATGTAGGACATATTAAATAATTTGCTTTTTTTTTTAAATAAACCTATAGAAACTTTTAATATATAAAAAAAGAATACAGTAAGTATTAATATTAAAAACTATTATATTAGTTATACATATGTTTGTATATAATTTAATTTTTACAAGATATATTTGTAAATTGTTAAGTAATATATTTGATTTAAATCGTAGTAAATTTAATAAATTATATTAAATAATTTTTTATATAAAAATAGGGATTTAAATATATTTTTTTTATTTACAATGGAATTATATTAAATAAAATGTTAAATAAGTATATTAGATAAAATTTTCAAATATTAAAATAAACGATTAGGTATTTTTATAGTCAAGGCAGCATGATGTATTGTAACGTACATTTTTATCGTGTCCCAAAAGTTATAAGATTTCTGTTTCCATTTCGCTTTACATAGATTCATACCCTATTTTTATATTTTCTTTATCACTTCCTTAATTCCACTAATATCTCTTCATCCCCCTTCTCCCCCTCTGCTTCCATCCCTCCGGCCTTTACGCCATCTTCCTTTTCCACCATCCCCTTCATTCACTGCTTTTCTCTTCCTCCTTCATTTAGGTAACGTCACTATTTTAACATATTTTTAATTGGTCAAACTTCGTAATTATAATTGGAAAATATTTCATCTCCCAATGAGAGTGTTGGTTCATATAAAACAAATTCACATTTCGATATATATTCATATAAACTAATTTTCTCAGTTGTATGTCCCGAATTTACTACTGCAATTTTTTCCACGCGCACCCATGTGTACACATATTTACATATAACGAGATCAACATAAACGGGAAGAATGATTTTTAAAAGAAAATAGATACTTAGCAAAAGGAGAGATCCATCTTTTACCTTTCTCATTACGTGTCGTGTAAGTCGTAGAAAAGTGTGTTGCTTCCTCGAGAACATTTTACTCTATTCTTGTTCGCTCTACATATCTACTTTTTCCTAAATTTAACATCTAAACAAAGATTGAAAGTTATCGGGTTCGATTTAGCGACGTGTACGTGTAAAGCATGCTTCGGATTAATTGCGCAATGTACGTACATACGCACAGTTGTGTAATGCAACCGTATGACCCTCATAACGAATAGTTTCATGATTCGGAATAGCGAATCTTGTTACATGAGCAAGAGACAACGGTTCTTTTAACTTCTTTCAAAGACTTGTACACACTACATCCCCCTCTACTTTTGTAACAACGCTGTTTCATTGAATTTAACTCATCTCAATGCAAGATTTCGTTAGTTCTTATACACTGATGCAATTTTACGATGATCGTGCAAAAGAACCTTTTACTTTTAAAATTTATACGTTCGTCGCATCACACGATTGCATAATTTTAATGTACTTTAAGTAATTGAAATAATATGAACAAAAATATACATAAATCGATAAGACAGATGTTTATTATTTCTTACATTTATTAACAATAAAAAGAATTACGCCACCAAAGCACTGGCAGTTGAACTTTCGTACTTCCAATTTGGTGGAAGTGATCCTTTTGTCTTGTAGTATCTTGCAAGACGATGAATTCTTGATTCAACAAGAATTAACCGGAATTTACTGTCCTTATCTTTTCGRTTTCTCTCTAAATGCTTTCTGATTTGTACTGCTCTCTTAATAAGATGGTACAAATCTTCAGGTAGATCCGGAGCAAGACCCATACTTTTAACAATACGGAGGATTTTATTTCCTGTACGGAATCTTACTTGAGCAACTCCATGCGAGTCACGAAGAATTACTCCTAGAAAATATAAAATATAAAATTACTAACTTTAATTTCTTTTTATGTTATCAATTATATTTTATGATGCAATTATCAATGGTAACTTATATTGAAAATACAAATGATCACGAAAAATCTCAAACTCCATAGCAACATTTCTATTTCACAAACATATAAAGAAAATTTACTATAAATCCATTCATCTTCACATTATTAAATTCTGATTTAATTTCTTTTACTATTTTTAGA